TGTAGATACCTCAAAGCTTAGAGGAAACAAGGGCTAAGAAAAGGATTTGCAATGTCTCCTCCTAGGATACTTTGGACTTGAACGTCGCTTCAACGACCTTCTGAAGTCTTCATGAAGTCGGTCATTGCTTCGCATGCAATGGAGAACCCGCATAGAACACAGACCAATTATTTTTATCAGGAAGGGAAGTCTCGTGGTATTAAAGAAAAAAATTATTTATTATTTCATTTTTAAAACAAAGTTATATTTCTATAACGATAAATATTTGATTGACATTTAAAAGCTATTTTATAAAGATTTTCAATTTCTCTTTGCGTTTTAGCTTCGATTTTTCGGATAGAATAAAATGACAGGTAGCCTACTCCACTGGGTCGAGTTTTGCTGTGCAAATTCCTCCCGTCGGGGGGTTATGTTTACAACATAAGCTTGTCAGCTTTGCTCTGATTGGCTAGTCGCATTTTCTCAAATCACCCAGAAGAGGGTCTCAATGGGGTTAACCGTGAGCCGTGAAACGGATGAAAAACTAGCCGTGAGTCGTGAAAATGAGAAGAAAAAAGCCGTGAGGCGTGAATATTTTTTCATTATAGCGTGAGCCGTGATTCAGTTTTGTTCCTCAGAGGGACAGTCAACTCCAGGCGCGCGCTTATAATTTTCTTAGTAAATGTAAAAAATATAATCWTTAGTGGAGATTTTTCAAAATTTTGCCTTGCAAGAATTCTTTTTTGCAGGAATTTTTCCCCAAAAATCTTCCACTCAACTCCCATTCTTAAAATTATAATGGACCGCATCTACAAACAAGGTCCCGCAGACAAGTCAGGGRATGGACAAAATTTGACATTTGAGAGTGATAATTATAAAAKATTATAATGACTGAGTGTCTATAACGTACAAGGAACACCGTGCTCCCACACTCACTATCTCTAGCACAAAACAAATTACAAAATTAATTTGGGATTTCTWTCTCTTATTCTAATCTCTCTAATTATTTCTAATCATTCCTCCTTACGCCCCCCCACCACCACACACACACACACACACGCACCCTCATACCGGGGGGGAACTCCCTTATATCAAAGGGCGGGGGTCCTCGGCGGAGATTGTTAAAATGACCCCTAAAAGGGACCTCTATTGTGAGATGATGGGCGTGGCAGTGCTGAAATTTCAACCCTAAAAGGGACCAATCAATAACAGGTCATTTTGTTTTGTTTTACCGATTTTATTTGTGTTTTTACACAATCATCGAACACCGTCGGCTCYTATTGAGTTTATGACGACGTTGCCATTTTATGACTGCTTAGGGTCGCCGTATACCATAAAAGGGACCACAAAACACAGTTTGTAGGAATTCTTGTCATGATCACCCTAAGCGGGACCAAAATACTGATTTCAAACCGTAAAAGGGACGCCGAGGATCCCCGTCCTTTGATATTAGGGAGTCCCC